GTTCCATGTGCACTTGAGAAGAATGTGTCTCCTACTGCTTTTAGGTGTAGAGTTCTGTAGATGTCTGTTAGGTCTATCTGTTCTAGTGTGTTGTTCAGTGACTCTCTGTCCTTACTTATTTTCTGTCTGGTGGATCTGTCCTTTGGAGTGAGTGGTGTGTTGAAGTCTCCTAAAAATTAATGCATTGCATTCTATTTCCTCCTTTAATTCTCTTAGTATTTTTTTCACATATGTTGGTGCTCCTGTGTTGGGTGCATATATATTTATAATGGTTATATCCTCTTGCTGGACTGACCCCTTTATAATTATATAATGTCCTTCTTTATCTCTTGTTCTTTCTTTGTTTTGAAGTCTATTTTGTCTGATACAAGTACTGCAACCCCTGCTTTTTTCTCCCTATTGTTTGCATGAAATATCTTTTTCCATCCCTTGACTTTTAGTCTGTGTGTGTCTTTGGGTTTGTGGTGAGTCTCTTGTAAGCAGCATATAGATGGGTCTCTTGCTTTTTTATCCATTCTTTTACTCTGTGTCTTTTGATTGGTGCATTCAGTCCATTTACATTTAGGGTGATTATTGAAAGATATGTACTTATTGCCATTGCAGGCTTTAGATTCGTGGTTACCAAAGGTTCAATGGTAGCTTCTTTACTATCTAACTGTCTAACTTAACTCTCTTATTAAGCTATTATAAACACAGTCTGATGATTCTTTATTTCTCTTCCTTCTTATTCCTCCTCCTCCATTCTTTATATTTTAGGTGTTTTATTCTGTACTCTTTTGTGTTTCCTTTGACTGCTTTTATGAGTAGTTGATTTTATTTTTTGTCTTTAGTTAGTATTTGGATAGTCTGCTTTCTTTATTGTGATTTTATTTTCTCTGTTGACATCTATTTAGCCTTAGGAGTGCTCCCATCTAGAGCAGTCCCTTTAAAATATTCTGTAGAGGTGGTTTGTGGGAGGCAAATTCCCTCAACTTTTGCTTGTCTGGGAATTGTTTAATCCCTCCTTCATATTTAAATGATAATCATGCTGGATACAGTATTCTTGTTTCTAGGCCCTTCTGTTTCATTGCATTAAATATATCATGCCATTCTCTTCTGGCCTCTAAGGTTTCTGTTGAGAAATCTGATGATAGCCTGATGGGTTTTCCTTTGTAGGTGACCCTTTTTTCTCTCTCTGGCTGCCTTTAATACTCTGTGCTTGTCTTTGATCTTTGGCATTTTAATTATTATATGTCTTAGTGTTGTCTTCCTTGGGTCCCTTGTGTTGGGAGATCTGTGGGCTTCCATGATATGAGAGACTATTTCCTACCCCAGTTTGGGGAAGTTTTCAACAATTTTTTCTTCAAAGACACTTTCTATCCCTTTTTCTCTCTCTTCTTCTTCTGGTATCCCTATAATGCAGATATTGTTCCATTTGTATTGGTCACACAGTTCTCTTAATATTCTTTCATTCCTGGAGATCCTTTTATCTCTCTCTTCCTCAGCTTCTTTGTATTCCTGTTCTCTGATTTCTATTCCATTAGTGGCCTCTTCTCCTCATCCAGTCTGCTTTTAAGTCCTTCCTGAGATTGTTTTATTTCTGTATTCTCCCTCCCAACTTACTCCTTTAGCTCTTGCATATTTCTCTGCAGGTCCATCAGCATGGTTATGACCTTTGTTTTGAATTCTTTTTCAGGAAAATTGGTTAAATCTATCTCCCCAGGCCCTCTCTTCGGGGTTGTCTGGGTAATACTGGACTGGACCAAATTCTTCTGCCTTTTCATGGCGATATAGGTAGCTGTAGGCAGGTAGTGAGTGTCAGCTGGAAGAACAAAGTCCCTTCCTGCTTGCTGGTAGCCTTGCCCTTCTTTGCTGCCTGTGTCAATTACCCACACACCTGGCGCAGCCTCCAGATTAATCCCCTAAGCTGCCATGGGCAAGGTCACTGCCAGCATAGCCCAGAGCCCTGAAGGGAGTGGCAGGCATGCCGGGTGTGCTCTCCTGCGAGAATGGCACCCCTTTGCGCCTTGCCCCAATTTCCTCTGCCTGTGCTGGGCAGCTGCACATTGGTGGCTGCCTCTGGCTCTGGCCCGGATGGCTGCATGCTGGGAGGAGATTCTGAGTGATTGCTGTGGGTGCTGTCATTCCCTGGCTGCTCCGCTGCTGCGTGCATGCATGCGTCTGCTCCCCAGCTGTTCAGCTGCTGTGCATGTGTGTGGGGCCTCTCTCCGGCTGCTCAGCCACGCCGGCAGAGCCATGCTGGAGGGGGATGACTGGCAGACTGTTTATCGCCATGAGGGGCTTCAGAGCTGTGTGGCCTCCCAGGGGTCTGAGGCACCTGAAGTTCCTGGGATACCCAGCTGCCGGGCTGAGTGTGCCAGGATGCTTCCATCCAGCTGTGAGACCCCTAGCCCTTTAAGATTTTCAAAAAGCACCCACTTTTTTTTGTCCCAGAGGAGCCGGCTGCTGGGATCTGCTTGTAGATTTTACTTTTCCATTTCTCTAATATCCAGCACACCATGCAGTGTGTGTCTGCGCTCCCAGTGCAGATGACTAGGGCTGGGTATTTACCCACTAACTCCTTTCCTCCACTCCCTCCCCACTCCAACTCCTTTCCTCCCACCAGGGAGCTGGGGTGGGGAGAGCACTCAGGTCCTGCCAGGCCACAGCTTGTATCTTACCCCCTTCGTGAGGTGATGAGTTCTTGCAGATGTAGATGTAGCCTAGCTGTTGTACTGTATCCTCTGGTCTCTCTTTTAGGAATAGTTATATTGGTTGTATATTCAAAATATATATGGTTTTGGGTGGAGATTTCTGCTGCCCTACTCACGCTGCCATCTTGGCTTCTCTCTCCTCCATAATTTTTAAAAGGCAATAGATATATTTATTTTGTATCTTTAACTAATTACTCCAGTATATCAGACACTTACATACTTACTAAATAATGTTTATGATACCCTTTTCCTCAAACATTTTTGTTTTATTTTTTTAAATAGTCACTCATGTTTGTTGGAATTTTATCTCTGGGAGTTCTTTGTATCCTGAGTTGAGAGTATATTTTTCCAGAGAGAATGTACATTGATTCCTGGATGCATGAGCATGCTAACAACATGGATCTATTTTCATTTAAATTCTTGCTTGGGTTTTTCCATCCTTGAAGACTGGGCACCCAACTCCATGAAAACCAGCCTATGGCCAAGAATTCTTAGAGGAGACTTTTGTTCTTCTACCAAGAGCCTAATAATGAGAAAAGCATGTTTTCTTGTGTGTATTCGATCTTTATAAATCAGATCTTTTTTCTTGTTTTCTATTTCTCTGAGAGTATAATCTTTGTGATTCCTGGATCTGGACAATGTTCTCTGATTCAACTTTCCACACTGCCTAGGTCCAAAACCTGGTCTCCCATTCCCAGAAGATGCAGCTCCTAAAGTCAACCCTCAAGCCACCTAGAATTGCTGGGTGCCCACAAGACAGCAGCTTCAGTGTTTGAGTTCTGCCCTATACTACACTCAAGCTTGGTTCCCAGCCTCAGGGGAATCCCAGTGCTGGCTCATAAACTTAGCCATGTGTGTAATACTACTTTTCATGTTTCATCCAGTATTTTAAAATATTTTTAGTGAAGAAATTTTGGTATATCTAGTTTGACACATAGTTAGAAATGGAAATATTCAACATTTACTTTTTAATCTCTGAAGGCTTTAGTTAATACTCTTCAATTAGGTGGTTGGCAAATAAGATAGCTGGATGGAGAACAATGACCAACAGGAAGGATATTTATTGACTTCTATTCCTATAAATACTGAATATGCCATCTGATTTTTTAAAAACAGCTGTGGGAAAAAAGAATGAATCTAATGGACAGTCTGCATTCCTCATGATGGTTTACTTCTAGAATATTCTGAAGGGTTTCCTTAAAGAGCTGGAAGAGGCATAGCAAATGCAGGAATTGTGGAGAAGAAAAGTGATTGAGGCCTTGTGTCAGTACCTCACCAGTTCTCAAAGCTGTCTTTCATGGATAAAATAAAGCTTGAATGGATCAAAATGTTTCTTGGAAGTTGGCCAGCTTTCACATGAAAGGACTTATTTTACTCCTTTACTATGGAAGTCCCTTAGCAATTACACATAATAAACTTAATTCCTAAGGCTAAATTACACACTGTAACATGTGAAAGATTAAAACGATCTTATCAGTTGTTAAATATAGTAATTGTAAAATGTTTAGCACAGTAGCTTTTTACGTAGCAAACTGTTCATTAAATGGTAGCTATTATTATTTCCATTTATGAAAGTTTGAATGTCAGAAATTTTTCAGTATCTTTGTAAATATTAAGTCCACAGATGTTTTAATGTCCTTGAGGTACTGATAAAATGGACTTAGGAAAATTCAGCCTTGGTTTCCCACCCTGATGGGGTTTCCTCCTGAGGTCTGAAGTGCCTTGGTTACTAATCTGTTATGAATGCTCAGTTCTCTTAGAGTTTCACACTGAAAGCAGTTTATGTGACTGGTGGCTTTTTTTTTCTGTAGCGTGAAATGCAAAGGGATTCTTGTGAGGCCTTGGAGGATTACAAAGAAAGATAGCAAAGAAAGTCTCTGTCCTGAAGGAGCCTATAGCCTAGTGACATTTCAAAGAAACTACCAACATTCATTTGTGCATTTTTTCTCCAGATAGTGGATATCTTGAGGCGGGAGCCATTCTGTCTTCTTTCTTTCTTCCTCATAGACAGTCCCTCTATGTAGCAGGAATCAATTAAAACTACTTAAAATTATTAAACAAAAATACTAACAAAATCCAATTTTATTATGTGAATCCTTAGTAGGAGTCACACATAGGGTTGAAACATTAAATTTCGAGGCCAGAAAGTATGTGCTTGTAACATTGTTCTCTGTGGCCAAGTGTGCCAATTTCAACGGCCACATCTCCTAAAGTGTAAATGACAGGTGTGACAAAATTAAAAGAAAATTGCAACTATAATACAACTTTGTGTTTAGAAATATCTTGTAAGTTACAGATTTGTCTTACCAGTTTAAGATAACCCTCAGCATCTAGAATTAAGTTTTCTGGTTTCAGGTCTCTGTAGATAATACCTAGTCGATGCAGGTAATCAAATGCTTCAGTCACACAAGCAACGCAGAACTTGGAGGTAGACTCATCAAAGCTGCCTCTGCAATGAAATTATTTTCCCTCTTAATAATCTAGACACACATCTTTGTTGTCTGTTCTAGGTGCCAGCTATTGTATTGGTAAACTTATGCAATATACATGTTTTGTAGGGCATCAACACTAAAAAGCATTTTATACTGCCAATGAATTAGACCACTACTCATAAAGAAATTTAGGACACTTGATGCAAAGAAGAAGCACTTCGATAAAATTAAAATAGTTACATCCAGACGACTGTTTCTGGTATTCATATATGGTCATATCAAATAGAAAGATAATGACTTTTTTTAGACATTATGGTAAACTCTGGAGAAAATGGAACTATTTCACAATCAGCTTCAACCAGGCTTCTGAAACGTACTGCTGGATTCAAACGACTCAAGTGATCATTTTCATTTCCTGTTTGTATTGCATGTAACAATGCCCTATAGAAAAAACTCATAACTCTTTCCCATTTGGGATACCTTAGTAACGTTGCCTTGTGTTGGCACTTTAAGTGGATTTGCATACTAGATTATTAAAATGTGGTTTGCTGTGTGGTATAACCAAAGAAGCGTGTGGCTCTGGAGTCAGAGAACCTGGCTTTGACTCTGGCTTCTTCTACTCACTGTCTTTGGGCAAGTTGTTTTGCTGCTTGGAGCCTTGGATCCCTGTCTGTATGATGGGTTTACTACCTACTGAACAAAGTGGAACTCCCTTTTGTAAACAGATTTAGATTTTCTAAATAGATTTGCCTGTTGAGCAAAGATGGAAGATCCAAATGCCTTGCAGGTATTGCACAATTCTCCTCACCCTTCTAGGTTTTCCCCATTCAGATCCATCCAACCACATGTTCCTGACACAGCACATTCATTTCTACTCAGATGCTCAAAGGCCTCTTATTTCCTAGGTCGTGACCATGCACATTGGAACTGCCTGACAGGCAGCTGAAAACTCATTAACTGGACCACATCTCAGAGGCACTGAACCACAACTTCTGGCTTTAGGGCCCTGCATCTTTACTTTGTTAAAGCTGCCCATGTGGTTGGCATGCGAAGCCAGAGTTCGGAACCACTGGCTGGGGTAATACTAAGTGTTTCGCCTGGCATTCTCCTCCACAGCCTAGTGCAAGCCTACTTTCCTCCCCTCCTTTGCTGCCTTTGCTTTCCACTCAATCCGGCTGTCCATTGCACTGAGACGAAACCCTACCCCCACCGCGTTCCTGCATCTTACATCAGTTTCCCTCTCTCTGCCTTCTCAAACATCATCTCGAGTTTACTTCAAGTCCTTTCCCTGCCATTACAGTTTTCCATCTTTCTTGTCCTCTGAGCTTACTATCTATGACACTCATTTGGCATTTAATGACAAACTGCCAACTTCTTTGTCTTAGTTTCCACATTAAATAATGAAATGTTTTAAAGTTGCATATTATATTACCTCCCCAAGTAAAATCTAAACTCACTGGAGGAAAAGTTTATATTTTCCACTGTTTTGGTTAGAAAAGCTTACTCTTCTGGAAACCCCCACACCTCCCCACCTCCACTGTCTTCTGTGGAGCCTCGTATATAGGTGGTGCTCAGTAAACATCTGTGGAAACCACTCCCTTTATAAAACTGAATTTCACAGACATCTTCCCCTGCTTTTCAGCCCCCCACCCCTTTTTTCATCTCCCTTCTAGAGATTCAGAATTAATAACATCTGGGCTTATACCTACTCCGCCTCATACTAACCATGTGAACACGGAGAGGGTGTACTCTCTTAAGCCTGGGATTCTTTAATTTCTAATAAGGGAATGATACAGAGCATCTGTTACATGATTATAATGTTAGCTAAGAAAATGTCACAATTAGTTCTTTATCTTAGCAACTCATCATATTTTCTTTGAATAATTTCTTAATGCTTTTCTTCATATCTCTTTAAATGATGATGAATATAGCATCCTTTAGACCAGATGTGGGTAGACAAAAGTTACTGTTTATAATCCTTTTTCATTACCTGTCCCTTAATATACTCCATAATTCTCCACCTAAGCAGGCCTCCAGAAGCATGTATACATACTTATTGTCCTTGAAAGTGCGATATAATCTGTGAAGACAAATAAAAACATAGTTATTACTAGAAGTCTAGTTTCTTTAATGTTGCTTTAGAGCATCATAAAAAACAATGTTTTGAACAATGGTCCTCATCTTCCACACACCCTATGGCTATATTGGACTTCTCACTCAATATGCTTTGGTCTTGCCTCCTGCCTGGCTTTTGCTCACATTGACCCTTTTACTTAGACTTCCCTCCCTCTACCTACAGACTTATTAAGTTTCATTATAAAAGTGTTATCCATTCCTCAAGGCCAAGCTCAGGGTCCATCTTCCTGAGAAAATAGCTCATTGTCCCACGCACAAAACATAGCCTCTCCTTCATCCACAAAAGCCTGGAGACCTCGGCATGTATCTCCTTTAAGGTCTCCCTTGCATGCCCTTGTCTTATGTCCCATATTGGTCTCAGGGAATAGACTCTGAGACAGAGATCTGTAAGGAGTAAGTTGGGGAGTGTACCCATAGGGAGGAAGGAAGCAGATTTGAGCAGAGGGAGAGTTCAGTATCTAATTTCAACAAAGTCCTCAGATTCAAGGAGCTCTGCCATCATTAGTGCTGGATGTTCCTGGAGAGAGAGTATGACCTCAGGCAAGGTAGTTCTCCTCACTTTACAGTGATGGCCAGGGAGGGAATGAGCCAGAGTCCTCAGCTGGCAACACTCCCAGAAACTAGAGGAATTGTCGACAATCTCAATCTTGATATGGGACCTGGGCAGGGTGCCATATTCCAACACTGGGTGAAAACAGTTTCCTAGCTTTAATCAAGAGACTGCTTTTTTCCCCTGGCACCCTTCTTTGCCCAGGCTAAAGCAGAAAGCAGAGCAGCCATATCATGTATGGACAGCAGAGGTGACCTAGTAAAGTGGTTCAGTACGGGCTCTGGAACCAAACTGCCTAGCCTTGAATCCCTGGTCAGCAATTGATTAGCGATGCAACCTCAGTTTTCTTACTATTCTTATTTAACAAGGACAATTTTATAGCATTTACCTCATTGTTCTTTTATAAAGATCAAATGAATACATATATTCACTTGATTATATATGTTTCATTGATTTTTTATTATTGTTTATATATCTATATATGTATATATAAATATACAAAATAAATATAAATATAAAACTTTTTAGAATATATTATACAGTGTTTATACATATAAGATGCATATGTGAGTTTGTATGTGTGTGTATTTGCTTAGAACAGTGCTCAGAACATGTTAATTTCTCAATGTCATCATTACTATTTATTTTTGTTATTATTGCCCTACTATATGCCAGGCACTTTGAAAAGATATGGAAGTTAGAAAATGAATAAAACCTAATCCATGCCCTGAAGCTGCTCATTATATTTTGTTAATGAATTATTAATAAGAAAGGGGGGCACTCTGGGAATACAGTTACAGATAGTTGGATGACTCTATTGCCAACATTGTCTGGGTTCAGAAGTCTTTTTAATCTTGAAAAAATGGGTCTGGGAATATGGATCAGCAGGACAATTCTTTCAAGGCATTTGGTCAAAAAAGTACAAATTTTATTCATTATAGGGGCACTTTACATCATCTAGAAATCATTACAGCTAACTCTGGGGCATTAAGACAAATATGAAAATATATGAGTTAACTGGCCTGTATCACTAATTTATGAATTCACAAGAGAGCTGCAGCCTAGAATAACATATTTCTCTTCCAAACTCTGGTGGTAGCTACAGTAAAAACAGTAACTATTAGGAGCTGGATCTTTCAGCATCTGGGCACTGCTAGGACCATGGTCTGCTATTCCTTGGCAGCCTATATGTGTCCAAATGCCACTTCTTGCAGAAATCAAGAGCTGAATGCCCCCTGAGGGTTTGGAATGAACTCTTGCTTCCCAAATTCTACTTTAGGTCTGCATTAATCACTTCAAGTTATTCCAAATAATTTCATATGTGTGCATGCACACACACACAAACACAACTGAGATTTACTCTAGAATAAAAACATCTGGAGTCTTGGCTCCAGATCTCAAACTTCTAACATTTTTTGTATTGTCGCTGTAACTGGGTTGGAGAATTCAGAGTAACACCTCCTCTTCCTCTTCTGTCCTCTTGCACATAAATACTCAAAAATAAGAGCCTGAATTCCTAAGTTCTGGGAGTCGAAGTCTCACTTACTTCACGATGAAGGGAGAACATAGCTCTTCCAGGATCCTCTTTTCTGAGTAGACATGCTCCTGCTGCTTGGTGTCAACTATGTGCTTCTTCCTTATACACTTCATAGCAAAAGCCACATTCTCATTTTTTACTTTAACCTATGTAAGAGAGAAACATCCCTCAAAATTAACTTACTAGGAAAGAGTTACAATATCTATCTAAAATGTGTTAACTAATGAGAGCTAAAGTTTTTTCACATTTAGATAGTATGTACACTTTTAACCACTTTTCCCTCTGGGAACTGAGTTTATTTCAGGTGTAAATCCTGCTCTATCATTTGATTTCCAAAAGAGTTCACATATTTGGAAGACGGTTTTAAAACATTTATATTGAAACTAGAAGAGAGCTCTAGTTAAACCACTTAATGATTAGAAATCTATTCAGTTTTAAGCATATGACATGAAAAACTTTGCTCAAAATTGCCAAAAATTATTCTTTAAGATTCATGCCTTTGATTTTCAAAACAAAAATTCAAGATCCACATCTGTACTATTCAATATGATAGCCCCTAGTCACATGAGGTTAATTTTAAGTTAATTAAAATTGAAAATTCAGTTCCTCAGTTGCTCTAGCCAAATTTCCAAAGCTCACCAGCCACATCTAGTTAGTAGCTATGCTATTGACAACATAGGTATAGAACACTTCCATCAGCAGAGAAAGTTCTATTGGCGATCACTGCCTTAGATGGGCAAACAAAATTTTCCCTTAAAAGGAAATAAAAATAATTAATAGGTATTTATTAAGATTAGACTTAACACTCCATAGGCAGACCACATTTACCAACTAATGGCTGCATATATATTTTGCTCACATCTGCCATTAGTGCTGCTATAACTTTTAAATCAATGGTGGAATTATTATTTTATTATTATCTAACTATATTTAAAAAACAGATCTCAGCATTGTTAATCGATCCTTTTGCCAAGATCTTTGATGAAAAATACCACTGCAGATGGATATTGCCCTTATCTCTCCATATGGCGTAAGAAACTTTACAAATATTCTTTCGCCTATTATGAAATCGTTCCTCCCCCCTCACCCATCAGAGATGAAATATTGACTGGCTGTGAAGTGTCCTATCCAGAGTTTCCTAGCAGCACTTCAGATCTGTTTGTGCCCAGGACCATCCAGCAGATGGAGGTGTCAGCATAGTTCCCAGAGGTTAATGTACAGTGAATCATTAAAAATCTGCTGGGCAAAAAGGGCTCAGTAATTGCCAAGGGTTAAGAGCCACCTGCACCCAGTAAGGTCACAGACCTCCATTCTACAGTTTCCTCAAAGCACCTGATCTGACAGTATCACTCTGTTACTCCTCAGAAGCTGGTTATGAAGCTTAGAGAGGTGATGATGTGGAAGATACAACCAAAACCAGCCCATACGTTCCCAGCTGTCCTGATCAACACTACAGAAGGCTGTTCTTCAAACAACCCCTTGTGTTTATCTTTTTAAATCTAAATTTTGAGCAACCCCAAAAGAGGAAAATGAAAGCCAAATATAGACATGGCATTGGAGCTGTTTAAGAAATGGAACTATAATATTAAAGATTCATTTCTACGGCATTTCCACTGGACATGTTCTTCTTTTCTTTAGTATATAGTTAATGTGTCATGAGTGTATACACACATTTGGCTGTGAGGAAATACTTTTTAATGTTTTATAGGTTTATGTTTTGGGAATACTTTACTTGGTACATTTTCCAATAATTACCATCAAGAAAAGAATTCATAAAAAGATGTGATGAAAAGCTTGAAATGACCTGCTACTATACAACATACAGAGTAAAAAGTATATTTCCTCAATTTCAGTTCAAAGCAACATTTAAGATAGCAATATTAATTCACATATTTCTCCAAGATATACTAGAATATTAAAAAAAAATCAGAAGGCTTCTCTCAGATGCTTGAAACGTAAACCCCTTACAAGCTCAACTCTTCCGAACCCACCAACGCCCAGTGTTGCAATAATCTCAAGGTTCTGGAATGGGGACGATGAGGAAAATCTGGCCACCTTCTCCTTCAGCTGAATCATCTCCAGAGAGAGTGCTTTGGACAGCTTCCAGTTAGACATGGATCTCCTGTACAAGGAAAGTGAAACTTTACACACAGCCCCTTAGTCAAGCAGGGGCCATGATGCACATAAATTTCACTCTTACAATAGTCTTAAATCTGCCAGTAATTACTGCCCAGAATTGCCACAAAGACTATTTCAACTTCGATAGGACTCGATTCAGTTACATCTGGAGAGAAAAATAATAGAGTATGCAAATAAAAAATGGACATATTCACGCATGAAAAGAAATAGACAAATGTCAAATGGAATCAATGAGAGGTTAAAAAAAACAGGTGAATTGTGTGATATTGAACATCTATTTCAATAAAGCTGTTTTAAAAAAAAAGAGGAGTTGATGAGAGGAAATAAACCCAGAGAGTCATTTCCTTTGCTGCACATGCAGGGGAATACCACACTGAGAATCTTTGCTGTGTGCTGTTATTTTTGTTAGATCTTGATGCTTCCATGGCTGAACCAGAATAACTGCTTATGAAAAATGAAAATTACATTTCTTACTTTATGTCTAAGTATTTTATTTGGAAATATTCATTTTTCTCTTTTCATTAAGGTTTATTACTCTGGATTATATATGCCTAAATTGTCCTTACTACAAAAGGCCTTTGGCATGACAAGTGCATACACTCCTGCTAAAAAATAATCTTATGAGGCCCTGACTGAATCCTCTGATTTAACTCAAGTGTCAGTTTTCTAGAAGTTTTGATCTTCAGCTTCTATAGTACTATCCAGTAAGTATGCTTAATTTTTCACTGAAGTATTCATTCTACAAAGTGTTTAAGCAAAGGATTTTCAAATAACTTTAATTTTACACAGTAGATTTTTAAAACAATTTTTCATCGCTATTACTACATTTAGAGCCCTATCTAACCCTTTCCTACATACACACACACACACACACACACACACACACACACACACACACCCCTGGGCAACAGCTGCCTAATACTCTGAAATAATTCTGACTCTACCCCTAGTTCTTTCCCTAGTGTCACAATGAATGGGCCACTCTAGAGCCCTGGCTTTCCTGTTTGATTTTCATGGGCTAGAGAGGCTTCACTTCTGAGTTAATGTTCTTTTGTGCTAAGACACCAGACACTGTAAAGACCCCCATTCTCAAGGCTCCCCATCAGGAAATTTCTCCCTAACATTACCACTTATCACCCAGAACAAGGAGCTGACTACTTACAGACTAAAATAATACCCTACTAGTGATAAGTGGTATCCTCTTTCCTCTTTGTGGAAAAACAATTTAAAAGAACTCTCCCAAATATTCTAGTGATAGCACGCTAAAAGTGAACACATAGTGAATCACATCACTAAGTCCCCTTCTTTATTAATGGCTGGAAGTCACATCTTCAGTCACATCTGGAAGTAAGTGAATATTCTTTCACTTACTTTGCATGTCTCTTTTCATCATCACGGTTCAGGTTTGCCACATACCCTTCCAGGTATTTTTGGAGTTCTTCGAAAGTCCCGACCGTTTGGTTGAATGTTCTAAATAAAGAAAATAAAATTAAAAGCTCTGTACTGACAGTCACCGTTGCAACTTGACATTCTTCTTAACCTCACAAAAGATTACTTCTATGGTTGTTCAAGCTTTGTAAACTGTTTTGCAATAATTTACTTTATATTACAGTTGCCACTAAATGTAGAAGTTATTAATTAGAACTAAATACAAGTCATATAGAAGTTATATAATCGATCCTTTGAGTTTATGAAAGCAAAGAGGCTACCAGTGAGAACAGAAAACATTTCTATAGTTTTCTGCCTTGCAGTTCAGTGTTACCAACAATTATTTGTTTTTTTCAAGAAGAGAGTAGAAAGGAAATAGTCTAATCTGTTTACTGAATGGGTTATGGATTTTTCTAACTTCGCTCAATCAAATTAAGCTATTTATTTTTAAAATCAAGGATAAAATTGTTCTTTGTTTTGTCTCTAGATAACACTCATTTCACATTCCCTTAAAATTAAATCCAAATGTTTTACCTTAACTTAGTGCTCTCTGTCTGAGGCTCAGACAAGTCTTCTGTAGACCACCTCACCCTTCACAGCTCACACGTTTATTGTTTGCCCCCTCTAATCTCCCCATCCCCAGTGCACTCTCTGGAAATTCTTATATATAGCACTGCCCATGAGAAGAAGTAATCCCCTCCCTCACCAGTGACATGTATTTTCTTGATTTTTCCTTCCAATGCATCCCCACCCCACACTTGACAATCTACTTTGATCTGTGAGTTTTAGGGTAGTTCTTGTCTCTACTGCAAAATGCTGTCCTTCTAGAAACCATGCTTCAATATCTTCATGAATCTTAAGCACCTTGATGTGGCAAAATGAAAGGAATGGATTTTGACCTCACATACACATACCTAACGCTAATAAAGCAGAGCCACCCCATTAGTGTGCTGTTGTCCCTTACTGCCTACCCAGCCCTGAAGGCCTCTACCCACATCTAACTGACCACCAATCTACATTTACAGTATTAAGCATATCTCATTTACTGTGCTGGGTGCTTTCCACTCCCACCCTCCCCACCCTATATCTATTCTCCACTCTTTTCTATTCTGTTCTGTGGACTGGACTTTGTTGACTGCAGAGTCATGAAAAATAAAACAATAATGGCACAGAATTTCACATTTCCAGTGATTGAAATTTTCCAGTAAAAAGGGAATACCTTTTGTACTTTGTTTTATTTTTATTTACTCTATACATCACCATTGTTTTGCTTGCTATTAAACTAACTGGAGTACTCTTGCAAACAAATTTCAATTTTTTAAGTGCAGGTGACACCGGTGTCACAGGTTCCTTGAAATTTTCAGCAAATTGAAGTTAAGGTCAATTTTAAACAGCTACAACATTCTAACTGTAACAATCAAATACAGCATGTATTCATTCTGATGTTAGAGCCTGAGAGGTAACCAACTCCTTTAAGATTTGTCCCAACAACCAGACAATAAGATCATAAATAACATTTCCCATTTGTTTGGAGCTGTTGCCTTTTTCCACAAATACTTTACATTTTCTCACATTTACAAAATAGGAAATATATTTTAACCTTTAATTCTCCTTGCACTGTATGCATTCAATGTATTTTTTAAAATAATGAATTAGGAAAGAAGAAATAAAGAGCCATAGGCTTCCAGTAACTATGCTGTATTTCACTGCAAGGATGGTGCCCTCACCCAGCCGACATGTGGAGTGCTCCCCATATGCCAAAGACCGTGCCAGCTGTAGGGACTGCACCAGCAGGGAGCAAGCACATGTTTCTGTACTAAAGGAGCTTATGGAGGAGTGGAAGACAGATGTTAGATAAAGCAATTACATAAAGAGCGATTAATGATATATGGGCATATCGGGTGCTATGGGAGAATCATCCTGGGATCTCAATCTAGGCTATAAGTCATAGCTATGATGATCATAATATGTATCATTCAAACTGAATACTTTTCAGAGTAAAAGAGGGGTGCCAATAATAAATATGTTGGGATAACCAGAACTGTCACAGGAAATCTAGGATATTTGGTCAACCTAATCATACCTGATACCAAGCTTCTCTCACCCCTGGTAATCTTTTATGTCTCATTGTGCCTAACATAATATTTTGCATGTTATAGAATCTCAACTACACACATGTAAATTAAACATTTGAAAATTATACAGTTCCAAATAATTTATAAGCTCTAGAAAAAACATTGCATCCTTTTGAATACATGAGATATTGTACAAGTATTTGATTTTGTGATTGCAGTGAAGGAAAAGGAAAGGAATTCCTCCTTTCTATCATAGTTGTAGTCCCAGCATTTTGGAGCAATTTTTAATATTTTGCCACACAGCTACTGCTATTCAGGGTATGCAACTATTTCTAAGGGACTCACATATAAAACAATGCATTATCTGGACATTATTGTACTCATGTATTGTCCATGTGAGAGCTGACATCCATAGATTACCCTTACCTGAATATACTTTGCACTTTCTAGCTCTGTATCTTTAAGTTTTACTTCACCTGGATTGAATTCCACATTTCCTCTTTGCCTAGAAAATGCCTATTAATTATTAAGCCCATTTTCACACTTATACTGCACTATGATTGCTTCTCCTTCTGAACACATGCTTTGCGAACCAAATGGGAGGGTATAAAGAACACTGAAAGGACGTGGGAAACCTGGGCAGTAGCCCCTGCTCCACCACAGATGGCACTGTTGGGGCAATTCTTTAACTGGTCTGGGACTTAATTTTCTTATCTGTAAGGGAAAGATTTACATTACCTAAAGTGATATTAAGAATTATTGTTCTATATGCGATAATGGACATTAACTAGATTTATTGTGGTGATCATTTTGAAATATATACATATACTGAATCATTGCACACCTGAAACTAATATCATGGTATGTGTCAAAACCATCTCAATTTAAAAAATAAAAAAGAATTAAGAAATAAAAATAAATGATAAATTCAGAGAGTTCTTGTGGTCATGCATTGTAAGTAATAGTTATTAGAGATGCTACTAAAATTTACAGACAGAATAATTTTGTTTAGAATTTGCTTGAAAATAGTGTGGAGAAGGCAGGAAGGGGGTGGCAAAGTGGTATAGAAAAGGCTTAACTGACAATTGTTCAACTTGCACTGGGGATTCATAAACCATGCTGTCTATTTTTAATATGTCTGAAATTTTCCATTAGAAACAGACTTTAAAAAACATTCTACAGTTCTTTCCAACTCTAAATCGCTATCATTCTACATTCAATAAATATTGTAATCGATTAGCAACCAACTACATACTCCCCTGTGATGCCTCCTGTCATTTTACTATTTTGATTACTATTTCATGAGTCTGCCCTGCTCCTTTGACTGCTATGACTTTTCTTTTTCTATGCCTAGCTTTGGCATATTTGAATTTCCTTCACTGTATCTAGATTATCAATAAATGTTTAACTGATTATTGAGCAGTCTAGAGGCCAGATTCAAATGTGGTCTGAGTGAGTTAAGGACACAAAATGAGACTTACTCTGAAGAAAAACCTAAGACATTTAGAGATTACATCTGACACATATCACTTGCAAATTACTCCAAATGCTAGATTAAAACTTTTCTGGAAATATACATAACTAATGAGTATATTATATTTTGTCTGAAAGATGTAGGTTTTGCTCAAAAATTATTTTGACTGCTTAGAGCCTTTCAGAAATAAATTATAAAATTGCTCACTATACGGTATGGGAAAAAAATTCATGAAAGTACTAATAAGCTTATTTCTCTGGAAGATGTAGAATTCAGATCAGTCTATTGCTGATATTTATGTACAAACATTGTGCACAAAATATTCAGCCTGCCAGCATCTGCCTCTGCCACAGACAGATTCAGATGGGAAGGCCCAGTTCCTTCCCATGAATTTTAATCAAATGTACTCGCAGCTGAGGATTGGCCAGCATTTCCAAGCAGTGATAATGAGAAGACAGATGGGCCCTCAGAATGACAGAAGGCCAAGCCTTCCCAGGTGCAGCAGCCTGCCTTCTCCGAACATCAGGACACTTACTCTCGATCTATAACCAGGCAGGCGACGTCATTTTCTTCAGCAATAATGTTAGCCGACCTAACATCTTCACTGCAGACAAAAACAGGAAAGTCATTTGTCTAGTTAGAAATGAAGCATCCATTTTTACTAGGGAATCTGCCACTTTGTATGAAGCACCATCATTTAAACCTTCCAAAGATTATACCTTTTTTAATGTTACAATTTATAGTCTACCCTTTTCCAAAAAAAGAATATGAATGTGTCCCAGTAAGGGTGATGTACATAAGGAGTTCAAAGGAGAGAGAACTGCAGTGGGAACACAGAGAAACCAGTGGCTGCAACTGGGTATGGACTCTCATTCTGTGCTTTGTGTTGGCCCAGATAAGACAGCTCTCTTCTGGTCAAATGGGAATTGTTAATTAATAAGCAGCCAAAACTGAAATGAACTGATCAAAGAAGTTTATTGGAAAAACTTCCAAGTAATTAACATAAAATAAGCAATCAAGAATAAAACCCAAAGAAAGTGTCCTATCACCCAACGAGTTAAACAAACAGTAAAATACTTCTTTTTATAAAGTCTAAAATCTATATTTTCCTTTAAAATCTCTGAAATGAGAGTATGTATGACAACTGACCGTAATATGAGTGAGTCCTGGTATAATTAGCACCATTGTCTTCCTTTCTCAGGGGTATATAATTAAATGGTGCATCTTAGATATAATGAATTATGGCAAAGGATCTAATGATGATAAATTTAATTACCTACCTAACGAACAGCAATGGGTCAAGCATCAGGTAAAGTATTTCTTTAGAGACCTTTATGCATATTAGTTTTCTCCCTCTATTAGTTACAAACTAAAGACACTGAAAATAGGTACACCCATGCAGTACCCAGTGTGCTGAGCTTTCATTAAAGGTAACCTGGAATTGCATGCATAGTGCTTAGACCGCTCTAAGCAACTTCATCAAAAGTGGCTCACACAAAGCAGAGTTTCCTCATCTTCCCTTAATGATGGGACTGGGAAAGTGTTGGCATCAGTGGTTCCAAATGATTAAAAAGAAATCCCCTCTCTCCATAGCTGGCATTCAGAGACCTTCTGACATAATGCATAGTCCCTCCCACTTCACAGGGTCCTTGCTAGGAGACATCAGTGAAAACAGTTCAGCTTGATGGACTTTAGAGTAGGGAGTTGAGTAGTAAGTACTCAACTTGTATGTGTGTAGATATCTAGTTAGACAGATATAAATATAGATGTAGATATAGATATATCATCTTAGATATAGCCAACTATTTGATTTGTGAGTTCAGAAACAGAAAAGAGAGATGGCATTCTTTCCCTTGTCAGTGTCATGATTTTGACTAGGAATATTCTCTGCAAATACTTCATAAGTGTTAGATGTTTGTAAATATGTATGTTTCTTTCATAATAACTCTGTTGTGGATTTATTTTTGCACAGAAAATACTGAAATAACTCTTGGGACTATTTAATGTCAAGCCATGGAAATACACAGAACATAGGGAATATTGGGTCACAGTCTGTGGCCTTAAAAAGTGATAGCATAAAAATGCACAAATGTAAAAATATTTGTATCCAATGATCCTTCTTATTGATTTTAGCTTTATGCTTTCAAATGCAGGGGGGAGCTGAGTATCTAAATTGAATCTAAATTCCCATGTTTCTTATGGGAAGGTGCTATAATTGGCTAGCTGCAACATACAGTATAAATTATTTCAGAACCAGCAAAACCAGACAGAGTATTTCCTTTCAAGAGCTATTTTGACTCGATAGTGCATTTACAAAATTCTCCAAACTTTTGAATTTTAGCTGTCTTGCTTGGATGTATGGGAAAAATAATCTGTTACTACTAAGAACAAATACATTACAGTCTTAAATAATAGTGTTATGTGATTATATTACATGAATGTATTCATATTCTGTCATAATAAACATACAAAAAAGGACATTTTCCCTGTTATTGAAACAAGTTCACCAGCTAGAAAATTGAAAAGAAAAATGTAACTACTTAAATTACATTTTTAGATTGTTTACAAAATAGTCATAACTTACTAAGTTTAAGTAGTTTAATTTTCTTTAAAAAAAAGGGGTTTTATGATTTTTTAAATAATCATATTTGTCTTCATGTAATTTATGAACACTTACTCTTTGCTCTGTACTTACTGTGATCCTAACATACAAATCAGCAGAACTGGGGCTTCACAGACAAAAATTAAAATGGAAAAAAATGAACAGAAATACCACTCATTTTCATAGGTATAAATTTTAAAAAAAGATTACTACATAAAAATAAAAAATTACTACACTAATAAAAAAGTGTCAGCTAATTTCAAGTATTCATTTAAAAGCATATATTACTCCAAAAAATTGTGTGTTGTTCAATACCGTAAGCTGATCTTTTATAAAATTATTTATATTTACGAAAATGTATTTCTTCAGACTTGAGGTTGTTTTCTGAATTCCAGGAAGTACAGTTTCCCAAGGCATTTGATTAATCTTCTCAAACATTTCTTCCATAAGTTAGAGCAACAGTAAATAATAAACCCATACCTCAAAAATCCTAAGCTTCAAGTAGGAATTTCAAATATACTATTTTGAGTTATTTCTAGAACTTGCAAAATGAGCTGATAAAATTTTTTAAAATATTACTTTTGGCATAGTGATTTAAGGACACACAAAATATGTAAAGTCATTATTTGGTAACTTTTTTAGAAAGGGGAAAATGACAAAATTTCAAACCTTGGATATATAAAACTCATTCCCAAAGGAAAATTACAATTTTTACAACCTTAATCTCTTTTTCTTTTAAACTAAAAACTCTAATACGACAATTTTTTTCCCTAACAAACTTGACTTCCCAATTTATTTCCTGTACTTATTTCCTGCATAACAATGGAAGTTTTTAGAAGTCAGTTTAAAATTTTTGTTTAATTCCTAGATAATAGCTGCCACTAATTTGGTAGGCCAGTTTGACAACTTTAAATAAGTAGTTGCACATGCAAAACTATCAAAGAATTATTTAAGTATGGTGTATAAATTCACAGATTCACCTGATAAGAGCTTTTTCTCCAAAGTAATCTCCTTTCTGCAGTGTTTTTATCAGTTGTGGTTGTTCATGGCCCTCTGTACTCTGAGTGACTTTTACCTAAATGATGTCAAAAACAATTTAAAAAGAGAGAGAGAAGGAAAAAAAGGATAATTTGAACACACAGCAATTCAACCAGACCCTCTAGATCTACATAAACTTGGAGGAAAAAAGAAAAAGCCAAGCCTTTAATTTTTGCAGTAGTTAGGACAATCTAACTATAGCCAGCTTATTTGGATGGACTGAGAAATCCTGTGATATAACACTATCAATTGATTCTACTCTCTGTAAGAGGAAGATTCTCCATTCAAACCCCACTTCCCAAAGTTAGAAATTTTTTACATGAATCCAGTGAGTCCTTCCTAGGGGTACTCAAAACAAATAATAAACCCATACCTCAAAAAACCTAAGCTTCAAGTAGGAATTTCAAATATACTATTTTGTCCTATGGGAACCTGCATTTCTAAAAGCCAAGTAGAGCTGATAAATTAACCAAGAATAAGGTTGAGTGTCAGAGGTTCTGAATCTGGTATCCCCGATTCACTTGTTGAATCCTATGTACTCTCTAAAACTGAATGCAAAATGTGCTTATGGGGAGGGTCCACAAGTTTTATGGGTGTTTTGATGTGATCCATGGCCCAGGAAGACTTAAGAACTCCCATAGCAGAGCTAAACATAAATTTCAGTATTCTCTGTTTGTGGCTAGAATTATTCCAATTCAATGTGGTAACAAAGGATGTTTCATTCTGATTAGAAATTCTGATCAGCATTTATGGAAGTCACAATGAATTAAAAACTTTTTAAAATAATCTGTGCAATTTCTTCATTAGCCAGAATTCTTTCAAGGCAAGGGATACAGGATGGAAGAAAATGACAGGTTCTGAGTATTGAAGAATTTCTGAGGTTTGAGACTATTTTGTTTTTTCCTTCACTGGAGGCCCAGTTCGTAGTTCAACTACAAACCAGTTTATCGAAGGGCAGTGCCTACATCTCTGATGATAAACTCTTTCATAGAAGAAAGAACATTTGTAAAAATCCAACAGTTTATAGACGCAGGTGCTCAAGATTTGACTCTTTCCTTCAATATTTCACAAATGCTTTTTATCTTTGAGGAACACTCTCAAGTGTCAACATAGAAACACCTGGCAACTTATTATCTACTCCATACCTAGGTAAAGAAAAAGACCTATTGTGTATGTTAGTCTAAATCAAAGCGAACTATTGTATATGAATTGAAGTTCTAAACCATGTTATTCTACAGCTTGATGCCTGATCACTGTAGTCCTCAGTGGCTGAATTCAGCTTTCTCCACCTGCTGCTTGCCCTATCTGTTGGATGGGGAAATGATCCAGCCCTAATCTTGTCCTTGGGCTGACTGAGAATCACACTCCTAGCTAAAAGGGAATTTAGAAATAATCCAGTTACTTTATTCACAATGAACCTAGATCCAAATACAGTCACGTGACCTGCCTAAGAGCACAAGAAGTCACTGTCTCAGCTGGAACCCATCACAAGTCTCCTGCAGCCCAAACCCAGTGCACAGACCAAACTCTGCTCCTCTGTGCAGATGCTCCTTGACCCATTTAATGCAGAGGATTTTGGCTACAATGTGGAGCACTGCTGTACTGATGGCGAGCCGATTTGAAAAGACATTTTGATTTACTTTAAGTAGGCTTTAATCAATACTTACCTTTCCTTTTGCTAAAATGAAAAAGGTACTTCCTTCCTCTCCCTCTCTAATAATGTAATCTCCTTTGTCATAGTATTCCTATTGGGATGAGAGAAAAATAAAAGTCAAATCCAGGGGAGACCTACAGATGTAGACATAAATGAGCTAGAACTCCTGGTGTCTTTGAAATGAGCATTCCCCACCTGTTTTATTTTTTGTTGATTTTAACTGTAATCTTTTTAAACATTGCAGTCATAAGCTGTGAAAAATAAGGAGACTTTTGCTTTATCATCTGCATTTATGTTTATCTTTCACAGAAGAAAAACCCTCTGCAGTGCTGAGTTTCAGGCACGGAAACTGAAGACATGAAGAAAACTATAAGCAAGGTAACAGTCCCTGATCCACAGGCAGGCTTCTGCCTACGTAATGTAAATGTAAACCCCAGTGATCTGCAACAGTCTGAAACTCAGCCTAGAGTTCAGAAAAAGAACAAGTGACTATCTAATAAATTGAAAATAACCCCAGTGGATAGTGGGAATACCAACCTCAATTTCTCATCCCTTGAAAAACAACAGATGGGGAAATTCTACATACACAGTAGGTAGCTCTTTCATATGGATTCTTTTCAAAGATTTATGTTCATAAAAGATTGAAATTTTACATGTAAACTCTGTTCTTCCATAGGTTTAACCACATGAAATCACAGATTGTCACTTATTTCTTTGTTTCCCTAATATATGTGTAGTAAGAGAATTCTTGGGCAGGAAAGAGTAATTGATTCACCTGTCAGACCAAAAGAGCAATTCAGTCTCTTAGAAAACAAAAGATGGATTAAACTGTCCACCCTTACTTTGCTTGAATTTGATGTTGTCTCAAAGGCATGGAATTGAAATGGGTCTCTTAATTATTTATACAAAGAAAAATGCACTTGTTTAATTTCTTAAAAAGCCATAACAACATAATAGCTCTCTCTTTTCTTTTTTTTGGACTTGAAAATAAATTCAAACAAGACTACTTTTTTGCCTGCTCTATTTCAGTATCTTTTTTGGTCATTTGCCCTTAAAACCTTTTTTACACTAATGGAATAAATATCACTCCTATACTAATATTTTGTACATTTTGATACGAATAGGTATACCTCTTATTTACATAGCACTGTGTATATTTTACAAGGCATTTCAGCATTTCCTGGAAGCATAATATTTTAGGGGAAAAAGTGCTTTGAAGCCAAACAGGTCTACATTCAAATTTTACTTCTGCTTTGAATTTTACTTTCATCAATCTATAAAGTTCAGATAAGAACACTTACCCTCAGAGATTGAGAGAAGAGAAACACATTAGTGTTGTATTGCTGCCGTTAACAAATAACCACCACTTGCTCCCTTAAAACAACACCCATTTTACTATCTCATTGTTTCTGTGGGTCAGAGAGTCGGGACACAGTGTGGCTCAACTGGATTTCTTTGCATAGGGTCTTTCACTGTGTCAGTAGGGCTGCCTGTGTTCCTTTCTGGAGGCTCCAGGAAAAATCCACTTTCAAGCTTCATCAGGTTGTTGACAGACTTCAGTTATAGGATAGGTAAGGTCCCAGTTCCAGGGGCTGCCCCTTAGCGCTCTCCAGTCCTTGCATAAAGCTATGCTTCAGAACCAGCATGGCATGTTGAATTCTTACACTTGGAATCACTCTGACCTGGAAACTTCTGGTGCATTTGACTCAGGCCAGAGAAAATTCTCTGCTTTTAAGGGCTTATGTAATTATTTTCATCCCACCTCAATAATCCAGGATAAAGTCCCTAAAATAAGTTCCTGAATCTGAACACATATGCAAAGTCCCTTTTGTCATGGAACAACATATTCCCAAATTCCAGGGATTAGGGACTGGACTTTTTGGGGGATCCATTCTGGCTATCACAATGAATCAATTTAAGACAATCCTTTTTATGTGGGTCAAAAAGCACCTGGAACATAGTAATTACTCAATTAGCGATTGCCATGTTAAGGAGAAGGATGATAATTGATTGCTTAGCTGTTACTTATACCTTCTGGACTTTAGTTTCCTTTTCTATAAAATTAAGATGATCTTGTCTACCACATTTAATGTTCCAGGACCAAGTAAGATAGCATATCTGGGTATGCACCAGGCCCCTGGTGGCTGTTAATTCCTGTGAAAGGGTCCATGAACTGTTCATCAGAATTTCCCACAGTAATATGTGGCTGTTGCTGCTGTTAGCTGCAGCCAGGTGATTGAAGGATCTGAGCGGAAGAGATGTGTGCCACCTCCGTGCCAGGGGCATGCACCATTTCAGGCAAACGTCTTCATACCTTCCCCCATCTGTAATGGCCCAGAGACACCGTGGGAGAGGCGGCATGTTGAAAGGTCAGCACAGCCATCAACTGGGCTCCTGAATGACTCAGTGCAGCCATCTGGCCCATCCTCCCTGGACTGGTATGTGAGCAAGAGACATACTTCTGTTTTAGTTGAAAAATGATATTTTGAGGGTTTTTTTAATTTTTAGCCCTAGAAGAAGCCCTTTATTTTTTTATTTTTTATTTTTTATTTTTTGAGAGGGCATCTCTCATATTTATTGATGAAATGGTTGTTAACAACAATAAAATTCTGTATAGGGGAGTCAATGCTCAATGTACAATCATTAATCCACCCCAAGCCTAATTTTCGTCAGTCTCCAATCTTCTGAAGCATAATGAACAAGTTCTTACATGGTGAACAAATTCTTACATAGTGAATAAGTTCTTACATGGTGAACAGTACAAGGGCAGTCATCACAGAAACTTTCGGTTTTGATTACACATTATGAACTATAAACAATCAGGTCAAATATGAATATTCGTTTGATTTTTATAC